CCTCATGGAAGAATACGACATATCCATACCCATCTCAACTGATAGCTGAAGTTTTTCATATTTTTTTTGCTAGAAAACAGTCCTAACAAATATTCCTTTTATTAAATTTACTGAGAATTACATTTGTTGGGGTTTTTATTGAATAATAAGATAAAATCAGTAGTTAAGTTTTTATAAACATTGTATTCAGTTGTTGAATAAGATTTGCTTGTAGACTATTTTTTTTTTGCTAGGTACACCAATCCAAACATTTACACACCTTTCCACATAAAATATGTATACACAAGTACAAAGTATTATTTGTAGAACCACTCCTTATTGCACTTCAAAAACATCTACAGCTTGAAGGATTCAAGAAAAAAAAGACAAACTTTCATCATAAGAATTCTATTGCATTAGCTTCTATATTGCAAAACAAGATGGAGAAGTAATTGAATTTGTTTTTTTTTTTTTTTTTCCACAGTTCTTAGACTTTGCAATCCTCTGCAGAATGTTTGAGTTGTTATGTGGTTTGCTGGACCCCAAAACTAGAAAATAATCGCGAGAAAAGGCCAGCTTTATTGTGTTTATTTTTCTTCTTTTACCTGATCATTGGTAATTCTATATCTGTTCTGCTAATAAACATTTTAGTCGTTTTTTCATTGTTTGTTTTATCTCCTCTCACCCCAAAGTACCTTTTATTTAGGTGAATACTCAGTTTGTCAAGAAACCTAAAAAAATTGCAGAAATAGCCTAAAACTTCAGGTGAAAAGATTTTCATCTGATTGCTTTATTTGACCTTTTCAGATACCAAAGGTATTTTTTCTCTTTTTAGAAACAAGATCTGTGTTCGCAAACTGAATTGGACAGTTTCTGATGGAATTGATAAAAATCCTTATTGACATTTTTTGTTGAGGGGTTGGATTTTAACTGTCAGGTGAATTGGTGTAATCATTACTTAACTTCTTTATCAAGCATCATGTAAACAATATAAGCACAGAAAGCATTTATATATAAAGCAGGACTGTAGTATCTTACACTTTAAGGCTGCAAAAGAACACCTGGTTTGCTGTGTGAATACAATTTGATAGCAGTTTTTTTTTTTTTTTTTTGTAAATTATAATAAAATTTTATTTAGTGTTATATAGTCCTCATAAGGCTTATGGCCACATCGTGTTGAAATACTGGTTCTTCACTGTATGATCACTGAAGTTGAGCAATGTTGAACCTGATTAGTACTTAGATGAGTGAACACTTGGAAATACCAGGTGCTGTAATCTTGGATGTGCAGGTGGTGTAATGGGTAATGGCTTGAAATTGTTAATTGGGTAGCTCAATTTCAATTCCAGTTGTGTTCGTTATATTCACTTACACTCATATACCCTTGGAAAAGGTAAAAATTTTCTCCCTCCAGCTATGAGTTAATTAGTAGGACTTGTATCACTAAACGATTATTATTATCATCCCCCCCGCTCAAAAAAATTGTTACAATTTAAAAATATTTTCTGGCTTTAAATAACTGGCAAAGAATTAATCATTAAAAAGGAAAAATGCATAATTGTCATCAAATAAACTAAGATGGTTGGAAAAAAATACAGGTTATATCAACCAATGAAATACTACACGAGCATGTCTTTTAGATTTATTTACATTCTCCAGAATAGAAATATATAGAAACTACTGTGGCCACTGAATGAGGGATCGGCTTATAGATTGATTGTAATATGTAACTGATCCCCCACTTTGTATATCCAGGGTGCCCCCCCCAAAAAAAAAACGGGAATTTTTGAAGTGCGTATTGCCAGACATGAGCAAGTAAACATTTCACCATTTAGAATTCAAGATGAAATTCACAGTATCCCAGCTAAGATGTTGCAGAAGTCAATGAGGAATCTCAACAGCAGATTTAAAGAATGCACTCGTACAGGAGGACGCCATCTACAGGACGTAATTTTTTAAAAATGAAAATTCCATCATTGTTTCTTAAATTGCATGTTTTAAGGTTTCAATTACTATAAATAAAATATTTTTCTTCCATCACTCTTGGTTTTATTGGCTTGTTAAAAAGTTCCCATTTTTTTGGGGTCACCCTATACATTATAATTTCTTGTTTGTTTATCAAATTCTGATTAGATATGAATCCACCTCTTCCCCCCCCCAGTTATGGGTTAGTAAAACTTGTACCACTAAACCATTATTATCTAAAAAAAAAAAATCTTACAATTTAAAAATATTTTCTGGCTTCAAATAGCCTGCAAAGGGTTGATAAACCATAAAAAAAATGAATCAATCAATCAGCATAGCCCTCATAAGATTTCTTGTTGAAAAATTGTCAAGAAAAGTATTTCAGTGATGTATGTTATCTTCAAATTGCCTTCTTCCAAAATTAATTTTCAGTGTTAATTCTCTTTGGCTGTTTCAAACTGATATTTGATTTATTCTGAGCTTTTAAAATAATAATAATAAAAAAAAACCCAAAAAACCTGACATTTAGATTAACTGAGCCACATAATCTAAATTCTGAAATGAAAGGATCACTTGATATTTGAAAATAGGAGGCTGAGTGGGAAAGTAGTTTTTTATGCTATATATATATATATATATATATATATATATATATATATATATATATATATATCTCTCTTTGTTTTATTTTCAGATTCTTATTCTTATTCATGTTTTATTCAATACCTGTCTGAGGTATTATGATTACTTACATTATTCAGACTGTTGTCCTCATCTTCATTGCCATATTCACAGTGTTTTGGCCATGGTATGCTTCGGCCTTCTTTAGGTGATTGGAATTTTGAACCAAACCATTTATTTTGTCTACCAAGGTAGATTGTTCTAGTTCCATGTGCCATGCCTCTTCTGGATGTCTCAGTTATTTCCCTTTAACTCAACTCTCTAAGTTTTTAGTTCACCACTGCTATAGCCTTTGAGTCTAGTCATTGGATCTAACTAGTGCCTTTATCCATTGTGCGATGTGTCCTTGGAATTATCTACCCTGATGGACAAAATAAAGGGTTTGGTTTGAAATTCCAATCACCTGAAGGAGGCTGGAAGTGTACAACGGCCGAAATGTGAATATGGCAATGATCATGAGGATAACAGTCCAAATAATGTAAATAATCTTTTATTCATTTTGACTTTTTTTTTTTTTTTTTTTTTTTTCTATTTAGGAAAATATTAAGAATAATGTATGATTATTATTTATTTTCTGTTCTGGACATGCACAAATTCATGGACAAATAAATTTTTCGATTTAAATATTTGACTGATTACAGTAGACTTTATTTTTAGCCAGTTTTTAATTTTTTACTGGAGAGTTGATAATGAAGGTCAGTCTTTCTGTAATTATGACTTTTCATACAAGATTTACTTTTGATATTGTTTGCAAGTTTCTATAAACATTAATGCTAAACAGAGTCAGTAGAAGTTAATGTTTTATTTTTACTTCGAATACATTATAGTTATTTAATTAGATTAGCTTGACACAAGGCCATGAGAGAAGAGCCTCCTGTAAAGTAACACTGTAATTCTGTTTGAAGCTAGCTCACCATTATCTCATATCTGTTGCATATTTTGTGTTGATTAAAGTGATACTGGTGTATAAACATTTTATTGATAATTATTCTGGTTTTGAAGACTGGTTTGATAATATTGGCATTTCAGCAAAAGAAATGATGGATTATTTTTATCTGATGTGTAAAATTATTGAAGATAGTTAATGATAAAAAGAAAAGAAATTAATGAGTAAGAAGCATAAGAGGAATGCAGCTTGAATTCTAACCTGAAAGAATTTGCTGTGATCATGATCAAGTCCAGAGAACATGTAAAGATAATTTGTAAAGGAAAATTAATCAAAGTTAAACAATGATTGTTTTCTAATTGAGAATAAATATTTATTTTGAGTTAATGAGAATAAATATTTCTTATTGTTATTTTTACCTTTTTTTTTTTTTTTTCAAAACCTGATTACTTTGGTGTTCTAACCAGATTATTGTCATATAAATCAATCCTTATGTATGCTCAACTCTCAAAAATTGGAGCTGTTTCTGATAATGAATGGTTTCTATTACTGATATCTTTTAAGAGTCATTCACATATGGGGGATGCTCAAAATCTTAGTTGATCCATTCATTGGACAGTAAAGAGATATAAGGGAGTATTATTATTATTATTATTTACAATTTGCTTGCACAAGATTGTAGGAGTTGCTGTTGAACAAAACTCAAAAAATGGCAGTTAAAAATAGAAGAGGAGTTGAGCCAACAATCAATTGTGTGGATTTCTTTGTTTTGCAAGAACAATTCTGTATAAAAAAACAAGCTATTTACTTGCCTCTGTTGTCGTGAGATTTTACGTAATGTGTTTGTTTGGTTAGTATATTTACTTATTGTTTTTATGGTGTTTTGGTTTTGATCTTTAAAAAAGAAAAGTGGGAGGCAGAGATACTAACTCATTATATCAATTGAGCATCTGTAAAAAGCTGTTGAATAGAACACAGCCTAGGCATGATAGTAACAACAATTTAGTATCTCATGTGAAAATGAAAAGAAACTATGTTGTCTTGTAATTGAATAGTTGTTTAATATCTGAATTTTTCTTTCTATTTCTTTGCTCATGATTTAATACAAATGAAAGACTAAAAAAATCACTTTTTAAAGCATTTTCATTTTATTGTTTCCTTTCTAGATGGTCATTTGAAACCCCAAACATGAATTTGTCTCTCATATTTACTGCAAGGATTTAATGTTCAATGCTGACCATTTGAATGAGAATGGACATTTTTTTTGTATTAATTCTTTAAAGATTTTGATAATGATGCAGAAATTGTATAATTGATTTTTCAATTGCAAAGTTTTACAAAGAAATATGTGTTAAATTTTAATTTTCTATTGAATTCTACTTTCTATAAACCTATTTACACATGATGTTTCATGCTGAAAATGACAATGCCTGTGCTCAGGCGTTGGATATATTGTAAAGGATATATTTTTTCCGTAAAGATTTGATTTATGACCATATCATGTTGAAACACCTGTTTCCATACAATCACCAAAGTTAATCAAAGTCATGCCTGGTCAGTACTTGGATGGGTGACCACCACTTGTGAATACCAGATGACTGTAAGCTTTCATGTGTGGGTGGTATAATGGATAATGACTTCAAAATGTTAATCAGAGAGCAGATTCCAATTCCAGTTGGGTTTGTTATATTCACTTATCCAAAAAATACCCTTTGAAAAGGTAAGAATCTACCTCTTCTCCCTCTCACTATGGGTTAATTAGTAAGACATGTATAATTAAATCATTATCTCAAAAAAAAAATTCCTCCAATCTAAAATTATTTTTGTACTTTAAGTAATTTGCAAAGGATTGATAAGCTGTAGAAACAAATCAATCAACTTTATTTAAGATTTGTCTTTTTTTTCTTCTTTTTTTTTACACTTCTTCTCTAAATAACAATAAAAAAAAAAAGACTTAGTGTTATTTTTTCTCTTTTTTATTCAATTTCGTGTGTAGATATGCATTTTGTTAAAAAAATAAATAACTGAGATGGACAAAAGTGTCAAGTGGCACTACAAAAATTCACCAAACCCAGTTCTAAGTATGTGCAACTAAAGTTCTATAAATGCTACTTTATTTATGAAAATAATGTCTAAGTACTCTTACATAGCAATTTATTAGTAATGACAAACAGAACTACTTTGTATTGTTATTTCTGCATTTCTTGATTGAATGAAGTCTAATTGATGAATAATTTTTTATTTTCATATTAGATCTCTTCCCTTTCAAAACTTTGATAGTATATTAATATGTATGTATATCATAAGTACTTATCACTCAATGATAAACAGTGAGATGCCATCAGGATACTATTAGCTTTTTTTGTACTGGCCCCCAATTTTTTTTTTTTTATAATGGAAAATGAGAAAGGTTCAGCAAAACAGGATCATGATTTATATGATCAATGAAATAAGCATTCGATAGCTAGCAGAAACATTGAATATTGACTGTGACTTAACTTTTACAAATGTGACATAATGAGGACTTTTGAAATGAAGTAATATAGTTTCTGTATGCTTAATTTGTTCAGCTTACGACTGTATAATGTTAAAACACCAATACTCATCCAATCACTAAAGTTAAGTCAGTACCCAGATGGATGAGCAGGCCTAGTAAGCCAGCAATTGATTACATCTTGCTGCTTATACTAACAGAAGATCACTACGTAGGAGGTGTTTCTGGGCTAATAGGTCGCAAGACCTACTGGGCATTGGGGTAAGTAGTGAAATTATTTGTTCAGTTAAGCTACAAAGTAGAGAGTCAATTTATTATGAGTGGATGCTGAAAAGTTCTTAGCCTGATCCATATTGAATAACCAGATTAGTGCTTGGCTGTATTGTAAGCTCTCTGGTCCTAGAGGTTAGAAAAACTGGAATGTTCTATTCTGCCACTTAGGCAATCCTGGTTGGCTTCTGGTTCTAGTGTGGCTATTGGGATAGATAAATATTTCATCAATCACCATTATGTTTGCCTGAGTACAGAACTGTGTTGAATTACAGCTGCCAACTTGATGCTAGTTTGGAAAAGTGAGTATCGCATTGATTCTACAATCCACTTCCTGACTGAATATCAGATATTTAAAAAAAAAAAAAAATCCTTTCTTGCTAAGGCTGAGAAATTTTAGGCACTCATGCATTGACCATGACAGGTGGACAAACACAGTTGTATACATGCACATATCTGCATGCAAACATGCACTTGAACTCGGATATGAATACATATATCTATATTTTTAGGAAATCAATTAAATCTGACATATTTTTAATCTATTTATTTAAACATTATTTTAAATGGATACTCATATTTGAGTAGATGCTCTGTTTTTATTTAATTATATATATATATATATATTTATTTATTTATATCCACCAATCTGAGTATTTGAGAACAAGATTTTCTTAAATATTCAGACTGGTAGATGCAAATAAATAAATTTACTGTTTAATAAAATAAATAAATAAATAAAAACAGAATATCTACTCTAATATGAGTATCCATTAAAAAGAAAAATATGGTTTAAACAAATAAATTTAAAATATATGTATAAATTATCTTTGTGCCTGCATAAATGTATATATAACTAATTGGTATGTGTGTATGTCAAATAGTAATGATGTCAAATATTGCACATGTCTTTTTGATGACTGACATCATTTCTTTGAATACTTTGCTTCTTCTGTCTAATAGAATTAGCAAAATTGTCATAATTAAACAGTTTGATTGTCCTTTATTTCATATCTGGCATGTTATCATTTAAAATCTCCATGAAACATTAAATATTTTGTTAGATTTTCAGTACGGAAAATGGCTATATTTGAATAACTAAGCAATTAAAAAAAAGTCATTAACAAAACTATGATAAATAATTTATAAAGTTTTGCAAATGAAGTTATTTTTTTTTTTTTTTTTTCTTTAATTTTAAAGTGGGATATGCAAATTATATTTTTAAGAAGAAAGAAGTGCTAAGTTGGGCAATATATAAGATCCACGCTTGTAGATATGAAGGATAAAATTGCATTTTATTTACTATAACGTTTGTGCCACACATACATACATATACAGGGTGTATCAAAAATACTTTTACAAACTTTAGGGCCAGGTCTCTCACACCAAGACAAGAACAAAAGTCCATATAAATATATGTCCACAAATCCTTAGTTTTTGAGTTAAGTTTAAAGAAAGTTTACAGTGCTTTGTTGCCATTAGACTGTTATATTTGTTATTCATGTACATTTGTGGTTAGTCTTTAATGTTTAACATGCAGTAGTGAGTTAACTGAGAAGTGTTGTGTTTAACAATGACAGAATATTCATCTTGTTAAGAGGCAGATATTTTTACATAATACCATAAGGCTGCACAGCTGTATGGAGTTTACATTTCCAGACTGAAGGCAGCTGAGTCATCCAGGCCTTTACTGCTGTTTATTGTCCTGTTTCTGGGACAGGATCTGTGGCACCACAAACTATAGATTGAGGAAGACCGATTGCACAGTTAACAGCATCTACCATAAACTTTAAATATAACTCAAAAATGAAGGATTTGCACACATATGTTTATATAGACTTTCGTCCTTGTTTTGGTTTGAGGAACCAGACCCCAATGTTTGTAAAAGTATTTTTAATACACCGTGCGTGTGTGATTAATACAATAAAAATTTTTCACTGAGTTGATTGATGTTATATTCAGCACCTCAACTCTAGTGTTTCATAAATGAACTTTTTTGTAATCATTCAGTCCATTTATTAGGCTTCAGCAATTGACTGCTGTTTTTCTCATTTTTCATTATCTTTATACTAAGTTTGAGATATAGGTTATTTTCCAGGCTTTCAAGAGGGGGAACATGGTTTAGACTGATAAAGTTTAAGAGTTTAAATATATTGTGAATTTACAATTTGGGCTATTAAAGGGCACAGTAGACGTTTCTATTCTGATCTTAAATTGTTCAAATCTCTTAAATGAAATATTATTAATTTTTCTTTTCTTATTTCCGTTGCTTTTTTTTTTTTCTTAATACTTTGGTAATTTACATTTGAAAATTTTAAAGCAATCAGGTTGGAGTAGAAATGAAAGACAAAATTTCCAAGATTTTAATTTCTACATTATATCCTTGGAAGCCTTTTGTTGGGACAGTACTTTGCTAAAGGAACTCTGAAAGTTATCCAGCAGACTTCATTTAAACTTAGTTGTTGTACAGCTACATTTTGCATTGTCTGATTTTTACCCTATGCCATAATCTGTTTACAAAGTATTAGTAGTAGATACATTATTTTTAAGGTATCTGAATTTCTTAGCTGAAGAATTGTCAGTATTAATTTTTTGTTACTTTATCTAACAATTGTTGCTGCCTTTGACATTTTGTGATGTGTAAAAGGAACAAACTGAGGTTTGTCCAAGGTATATCCAGCCATTTTGTATCTCTGGTTGCACAACCTTGGTATAATTTGATAATGGAACTTTACTGCTTATGCATGAACAGATACTCTCACATGCAGTTATTCAGTGGCATGTGTATACTCTGTGTTACCATTGCATTCACAATGGCCAAGAGATTAGATTCTTCCTTTTGTGCAGTTTTTTTTTTTTTTTTTTTAAAATTATTCTATCATCCAAATATGTCCATCTGCTTCCTGTTTACATTTGGTACCTTGTGATTTCCAGTTTTTCTCAAGACTGCCAAGGAGAATGTGAAGAGGTAGATCTTTTCAGACTATTTTAAATAGTGGAAAGGAAGAACTTTGATCAGTACTAAGGTGTCATTACACTAGGTAGGCTAGTTTTCATGAACATTAGATGTCTGGATACTTTTTAACAGACTTGGTATTTTAAAAATCATTTTAAATATTTTGATCAATTGGGATGGATGGATAGAATTTCTGATTAGCAGTTAATGTTTTCTCATGACTTTTTTCTCATTGTTTTGTATTCATTTAACAAATTCTATGAATATTCTTCATCAAATTTAATGTTGGAAGCTTGTTTGTATTGTTTAATTATCATGTGCTTCCTTTGCCTTTTCTTTTATGTTAGATATTTGAAGGCAAAGGAAGAATTCTAGATTCACTGGATTTCTCAGAAGGAAACATTGTCATAAAATCAATGACTTATCAACCTTACAGCATCAGTTTGTACTTGCTTGGATCTTGCTTTTCTCTCAACCTACTTGAAAATAATTTTGGTGACAATAAAATTTGTAGGGTGAGTTGCCATGGTTAAATACAAAATAAATGACAAAACTGTCCAACAAACAGAATTGACAAAGTTTGCAATAAGAAGGAAAAGAAAAGTGCAAAAAAAATAATATAAAGCAAGCAAAAAATATATGCAAGGCAAATTAACAGTAATATAGCAAAAAGTTCACAAACTAAGAATTCGATTTGACACATACAAGCAGCTTCAGACAAGCAAACGTAGCACTTACTTCAAGACAGACTGGGACCAAGTCAGATGAAACTGAGAACCAACTTTTTTTATTGGCTAAAAAAAATAATCCTAGCATGAATTTGTGTGAACAGACAAGTTTCAGATCCTAGATGATACCATGACAAAATGTTTATAATAACTAAG